ACTGTTGTTATGCTACGCAGGGAAGCTCAGGGTTCTAGGGTTATTCTACGCGGGAAAGCTCAGGGGACTGTGGTTATGCTACGTGGAAAAGCTCAGGGGACTGTGGTTTTGCTTGTTGGGAAAGCTCAGGGAACTGTTGTTATGCTACGTAGGGAAGCTCAGGGGACTGGAGTTATGCTACGCGGGAAAGCTCAGGGGACTGTGGTTTTGCTGTGGGAAAGCTCAGGGGACTGTGGTTATGCTACGTGGAGAAGCTCATGGGACTGTGGTTATGCTACATGGGGAAGCTCATGGAACTGTGGTTATGCTATGTGGAGAAGCTAAGGGGACTGTGTTTAAGCTTCTCGGAGAAGCTCATGGGACTGTGGATTTGTTACGTGGGGAAGCTCATGGGACTGTGGTTATGCTATGCGGGAAAGCTCAGGGGACTGTGCTTATGGTATGTAGGGAAGCTCAGGGGATTGAGCTTAGGGTATGCAGGGAAGCTCAAGGTTCTGTGGTTATGCTACGCTGGAAAGCTCAGGGGACTGTGGTTATGCTATGTGGGGAAGCTCACGGGACTGTGGTTATGCTATGAGGGGAAGCTCAGGGGACTGCGGTTATTCTTTGCTGGGAAGCTCAGAGGAATTAGGTTATGCTACTCGGGGAAAGTCAGGGGACTATAGTTATGCAACACATGGAAGCTCAGTGGACTGTGGTTATGCAACGCAGGGAAGCTAAGGGGACTGTGGTTATGCTATGCGGGGAAGCTCAAGGGACTGTCGTTGTGCTGCGTGGTGAAGCTCAGGAGACTCTGGTTATCCTACGTTGGGAACCTAAGGGGACTGTGGTTATGCTATGCGGGGAAGCTCAAGGGACTGTTGTTATCCTACGTGGGGAAGCTCAAAGTTCAGTGGTTATGCAACACTGGGAAGGTCAGGAGACTGTGGTTATACCAAATGGGGAAGCTAAGGGGATTGTGGTTGTGCTACGTGAGGAAGCTCAAAGGACTCTGGTTAAGCTACGTGTGGAAGCTCAGAGGACTGTGGTTATGCTTCTTGGCGAAGCTGAGGGGACTGTGGTTATGCAACGCAGGGAAGCTAAGGGGACTGGGGCCATGCTACGCGAGGAATCTCAAGGGACTGTTGATATGCTAGGTGGGGAAGCGCAGGGGACTGTGGTTATGGTACATGGGGAAGCACAGTGGACTGCGGTTGTGCTACGTGGTGAAGCTCAGGGGACTGTGGTTATGTAATGCAGGGAAGCTCAGGGGACTGTGGTTATGCTACGTGGGTAAGCTCAGGGGACTGTCGTTAAGCAACGTGGGGAACCTCAGGGGACTGTGTTTATGCTATGTGGGGAAGCTAAGGGGACTGTTGTTATGCTACGTGGGGAAGCTCAGAGGACTGTGGTTATGCTACGTGGGGAAGCTCAGAGGACTGTGGTTATGCTACGTGGGGAAGCTCAGGGGACCTTGGTTATGCTATATGGGGAAGCTCAGGTGACCGGGGTTATGCTACGTATAAAAGCGCAGTGGACCATGGCTATGCTACGTGGGGAAGCTCAGGGGGCTGTGGCTGTGCTACGTAGGGAAGCTCATGGGACTGTGGTTTTGCTATGCGGAAAAGCTCAGGGGACTGTGGTTATGCTACGTGGGAAAGCTCAGGGAACTGTTGTTATACTACGCAGGGAAGCTCAGGGGACTGGGGTTATGCTACGCGGAGAAGCTCATGGAACTGTTGTTATGCTACGTGGGGAAGCTCATGGGACTCTGGTTATGCTACACGGGAGAGCTCAGGGGACTGTGGTTATGGTATGCAGTGAAGCTCAGGGGACTGTGGTTATGCTACGCTGGAAGCTCAAGGTTCTGTGGTTATGCTACACGGTTAAGCTCAGGGGACTGTGGTTATGCTACTCGGGGAAGGTCAGGGGACTGAGGTTATGCAACGCAGGGAAGCTCAGGGGGCTGAGGTTATGCTACGTGGGGAAGCTCAAGGGACTGTCGTTATGCTGCGTGGAGAAGCTCAGGAGACTCTGGTTATCCTACGTTGGGAAGCTAAGGGGACTGTGGTTACGCTATGCGGGGAAGCTCAAAGAACCGTTGTTATGCTACGTGGGGAAGCTCAAAGTTCAGTGGTTATGCTACACTGGGAAGGTCAGGAGACTGTGGTTATACCACACGGGGAAGCTTAGGGGACTTTGGTTGTGCTACGTGAGGAAGCTCGAAGGACTCTGGTTAAACTACGTGGGGAAGCACAGGGGACTCTGGTTATGCTACTTGGCGAACCTCAGGGGACTGTGGTTATGCAACGCAGGGAAGCTAAGGGGACTGGGGTCATGCAACGCGAGGAAGCTCAGGGGACTGTGGTTAAGCTACGTGGGGATGCTCAGGGGACGGTGTTTATGCTATGTGGGGAAGCTCAGGGGACTGTGGTTATGCTACGTGGGTTAGCTCAGGGGACTGTGGTTATGCTACGTGGGGAAGCTCAGGGGACTGTACTTATGCTACGTGGGAAGCTCAGGGTACTGTGGTTATGCTGCGTGGGGAAGCCCAGGGGACCAGGTTTAATCTACGTATGGAAGCGCAGGGGACCATGGTTATGCTTCGTGGGGAAGCTCAGGGGGCTCTGGCTATGCTACGTAGGGAAGCTCATGGGACTGTGGTTATGATACGCAGAAAAGCTCAGGGGACTGTGGTTATGCTATGTGGGAAAGCTCTGGGGACTGTGGTTATGCTATGCAGGGAAGCTTAGGGGACTGGGGTTATGCTTCGCGGGAAAGCTCAAGGACTGTGGTTATGCTACGTGGAGAAGCTGAGGGGTCTGTGGTTATGCTACGTGGGGAAGCTCAGGGGACTGTGTTTATGCTATGTGGTGAAGCTCAGGGGACTGTGGTTATGCTATGTGGGGAAGCTCAGAGGACTGTGGTTATGCTATGTGGGGAAGCTCAGGGGACTGTGGTTATGCTACGTGGGGAAGCTTAGCGGACTTTGGTTATGCTACGTGGGGAAGCTAGGGGAACTGTGGTTAAGCTACGTTGGGAAGCTCAGGGGACTGTGTTTGTGCTATGTGGGGAAGCTCAGGGGACTGTGGTTATGCTACGTGGAGAAGCTCAGGGGACTATGGTTATGCTATGTGGGGAAGCTCAGAGGACTGTGGTTATGTAATGCAGGAAAGCTTAGGGGACTGTGGTTAAGCTACGTGGGGAAGCTCAGGGGACTGTGTTTACGCTATGTGGGGAAGCTCAGGGGACTGTGGTTATGCTACGTGGAGAAGCTCAGAGGACTGTGGTTATGCTACGTGGGGAAGCTCAGCGGACTGTGGTTATGCTACGTGGGGAAGCTAGGGGGACTGTGGTTATATTACGTGGGGAAGCTCAGGGGAGTGTGGTTATGCTACGTGGGGAAGCTCAGGGGATTGTGGTTATGTAATGCAGGGAAGCTCAGGGGACTGTGGTAATGCTATATGGGGAAGCTCAGGGGACTGTTTCTAAGCTACGTGGGGAAGCTCAGGGGTCTGTGTTCATGCTATTTGGAGAAGCTCAGGGGACTGCGGTTATGCTACGTGGGTTAGCACAGGGGACTGTGGTTATGATACCTGGAGAAGCTCAGGGGACTCTGGTTATGCTACGTAGGGAAGATCAGGGGAATGTGGTTATGCTGCGATGGGTAAGCTCATGGGACCGGGGTTATGCTACGTATGGAAGCGCAGGGGACCATGGCTATGCTACATGGGGAAGCTCAGGGAGCTGTGGCTATGCAATGTAGGGAAGCTCATGCGACTGTGGTTATGCTACGTGGGGAAGCTCATGGGACTGTGGTTATGTAATGCAGGGAAGCTCAGGGGACTGTGGTTATGTAATGCAGGGAAGCTCAGGGGACTGTGGTTAAGATACGTGGGGAAGCTCAGGGGACTGTGTTTATGCTATGTGGGGAAGCTCAAGGGACTGTGGTTATGCTACGTTTGGTAGCTCAGGAGACTGTGGTTATGCTACGTGGGGAAGCTCAGGGGACTGTGGTTATGCTACGTGGGGAAGCTCAGCGGACTGTGGTTATGCTATGTGGGGAAGCTCAGGGGACTGTGGTTATGCTACGTGGTGAAGCTCAGAGGACTGTTTTTAAGCTACGAGGGGAAGCTCATGGGTCTGTGATTATGCTATGTGGGGAAGCTCAGGGGACTGTGGCTATGCTACATAGGGAAGCTCATGGGACTGTGGTTAAGCTACATGGAAAAGCTCAGGGGACTGTGGTTTTGCTACGTGGAGAAGCTCATGGGACTGTTGTTATGCTACGTGGAGAAGCTCAGGGGACTGTGGTTATGCTACGCAGAGAAGCTCATGGGGTGTGGTTATGCTACGCGGGAAAGCTCAGGGGACTGTGGTTATGCTATGCAGGGAAGCTCAGGGGACTGTGGTTATGCTACGCGGGAACCTCAAGGTTCTGTGGTTATGCTACGCGGGTAAGCTCAGGGGACTGTGGTTATGCTATGTGGGGAAGCTCAGGGGACTGTGGTTATGCAACGCAGGGAAGCTAAGGGACTGTGGTTATGCTACACGGGGAAACTCAAGGGACTGTGGTTAAGCTACGTGGGGAAGCTCAGGGGACTGTGTTTATGCTATGTGGGGAAGCTCAGGGGACTGTGGTTATGCTACGTGGGGTAGCTCAGAGGACTGTGGTTATGCTACGTGGGGAAGCTAGGGGGACTGTGGTTATATTACGTGGGGAAGCTCAGGGGAGTGTGGTTATGCTACGTGGGGAAGCTCAGGGGACTGTGGTTATGCTACACGGGGAAACTCAAGGGACTGTGGTTAAGCTACGTGGGGAAGCTCAGGGGACTGTGGTTATGCTACACGGGGAAACTCAAGGGACTGTGGTTAAGCTACGTGGGGAAGCTCAGGGGACTGTGGTTATGCTACATGGGGAAGCTCAGGGGACTGTGGTTATGCTACGTGGGGAAGCTCAGGGGACTGTGGTTATGCTACGTGGGGAAGCTCAGCGGACTGTGGTTATGCTACGTGGGGAAGCTAGGGGGACTGTGGTTATATTACGTGGGGAAGCTCAGGGGAGTGTGGTTATGCTACGTGGGGAAGCTCAGGGGACTGTGGTTATGTAATGCAGGGAAGCTCAGGGGACTGTGGTTATGCTACGTGGTGAAGCTCAGTTGACTGTTTTTAAGCTACGTGGGGAAGCTCAGTGGACTGTGTTTATGCTATGTGGGGAAGCTCAGGTGACTGTGGTTATGCTACTTGGCGAAGCTGAGGGGACTGTGGTTATGCTACTTGGCGAAGCTGAGGGGACTGTGGTTATGGAACGCAGGGAAGCTAAGGGGACTGGGGTCATGCTACGCGAGGAAGCTCAAGGGACTGTGGTTATGCTACATGGGGAAGCACAGTGGACTGCGGTTATGCTACGTTGGAAAGCTCAGGGGACTGTGGTTATTCTACGTGTGGAAGCTCAGGGGACTGTGATTATGCTACCCGGGGAAGCTGAGGGGACTCTGGTTATGCTACGTGGGGAAGCTCAGGGGACTGTGGTTATGCTACGCGGGGAAGCTCAGTGGACTCTGGTTATGCTATGTGGGGAAGCTCAGGTGACTGTGGTTATGCTACGCGGGGAAGCTCAGGGGACTGTGGTTATGCTACGCGGGGAAGCTCAAGGGACTGTTGTTATGCTACGTGGAGAAGCTCAGGGGACTCTGGTTATCCTACGTTGGGAAGCTCAGGGGACTGTGGTTATGCTATGTGGGGAAGCTCAAGGTACTGAGGTTACGCTTCGCGGTTAAGCTCAAAGTTCAGTAATTATGCTACACTGAGAAGCTCAGGGGACTGTGGTTATGCTACATGGCAAAGCTCAGGGGACTGTGGTTATGCAACGCAGGGAAGCTCAGGGGACTGTGGTTATGCAACACAGGGAAACTCAGGGGACTGCTTATACTATGCGGGGAAGCTCAGAGGACTGTGATTATGCTACGCGGGGAAGCTCAGGGGACTGTGATTATGCAACGCAGGGAAGGTCATCGGACTGTGGTTATGCAACGCGGGAAAGCTCAAGGGACTGTGTTTATGCTACGCGGGAAGCTCAGTTGAATGTGGTTATGCTACACGAGGAAGCTCAAGGGACTGTGATTATGGTACAAGGGGAAGGTCGGTTAACTGTGGTTATGGTTTGTTGAGAAGCTCCGGGGACTGTGGTTATGCTACGCGAGGAAGCTCAAGGGACTGTGATTATGGTACAAGGGGAGGGTCAGGTGATTGTGGTTATGCTTCGTTGAGAAGCTCAGGGGACTGTGGTTATGCTACGCGAGGAAGCTCAAGGGACTGTGATTATGGTACAAGAGGAAGGTCAGGTGACTGTGGTTATGCTTCGTGGAGAAGCTCAGGGGACTCTGGTTATGCTACGAGACGAACCTCATAGAACTGTGATTATGCTACACCGGGAAGCTCAGGGGACTGTCAATGCTTCGCAGGGAAGCTCAGGGTACTGTGGTTATGCTACGTTGGGAAGTTGAAGGACTCTGGTTGTGCAAGGGGGGAAAGCTCAGGTGAGTATTTTTATGCTGCTCGGGGAAGCTCAGAGGATTGTTATTATGCTACGTGGGGAAGCTCAGGGGACTGTGGTTTTTCTACGTGGGGAAGCTCAGGGGACTGTGGTCATGGTTACGTGGAGAAGCTAAAGGGACTGTGGTTATGCTACACGGGGAAGCTCGTGGGACTGTAGTTATGCTACGAGGGGAATCTCAGAGGATTGTGGTTATGCTACGTGGGGAAGCTCAAGGGACTGTGGTTATGCTATGCGCGGAAGCTCAGGGGACTGTGGTTATGCAATTTAGTGATGCTCATGGGACTGTGGTTATAGTACGCGGGAAAGCTCAAGAGACTGTGCTTATGCAACGCTGGGAAGCTCAGGGGACTGTGATTATGTTGCGCAGGGAAGCTCAGGGGACTGTGGTTATGCTACGTGGGGAAGCTCAGGGGACTGTGGTAATGTTACGTGGGGAAGCTCAGGGGACAGTGGTTATTCTACGTAGGGAAGCTCAGGGGACTGTTGTTATGCTACTTGGGGAAGCTCAGGGGACTGTTGTTATGCTATGTGGGGAAGCTCAGTTGACTGTTGTTATGCTACCCAAGGAAGCTCAGGGGACTGTGCTTATGCTTCATGGGGAAGCTCAGGAGACTGCTTATGCTACGTGGGGAAGGCCAGGGGACTGTTGTTATGCCACGCGAGGAGGCTCACAGGAATGTGCTTATGCTACATCGGGAAGCTCAGGGGTCTGTGGTTATGCTGTGCGGGGAAGCTCAGGGGACTGTGATTATGCAATGCGGCGCAGACTTTCTGGGATCACTCATTGACTGAAATGCATCTCGTTGTTATTGTGACTGGTTTGGGGGTAGTTGAGATTGTAATTATGACAGACCTATTGTGACTGATGTTGGTAGTAACTATTTTGAAAGTAATAATTTTGGTTAGTGTATTATGATTTGCACTGCTGTGTTGGTAACAGTGATGATTATGAGACATTATGCCTGGTGATGGCAATGGTGATTGTGACAACAGTACTCAGATTGGAGTTGGTATGGTGGTGGTTATAGTGATTATGTTAAATGTACTGAGATTGAGCTTAATGAGGCAGAGAAAGTGATTATGGTGATAGTCTTAGCGAGAATAATAGTGACTCTTATAGGAGTGCCAGTGGCAGATATAGTGAGAGTGATTGTGAGGGTGTTGGTGATGGCTAATATCCTGTGATTGGTATTGGTGGTAAGGAATGTATACCGAGATTGTATTGTTAGTGGATGAATCCATATAAAATACCCTAAGAATAAAGCTATCATGCTGGTAACGAAGGCAGATGCTTGAAGGTTGGTGATGGTCGAGGCAGATTCTTTGTGACGGGTTTTGGCATATTGATGGAAGATGCTTACAACACGGGAAGTACTGACATCATAGCGGGTGAAGCAGAGGCTGTAAGATAGCTTTTCTCATGGGAATATTGATAGCTTCTAGACCACCTTGGCCCAGTTGATCTCATAAGCTGGGAAGTAGGTGGTGTTACCTAGCTCAGGTATCCTCACCACTCCTTTGTAGTACCTTACTGCTCTACCCATCACATACTTATAACCCGCGCACTGAAGACCCTGGAACACCTACACAAATGAAAGTATATATTAATTTGTAAACTAAATTATGGATAGATAACTAATTTATATATATATATATATATATATATATATATATATATATATATATATATATATATATATATATATATATATATATATATATATAATAATATATATATATATATATATATATATATATATATATATATATATATATATATATATATATATATATATATATATTATATATCTGCAATAAGATCACAGTAAACAGGTGCTTTCAGAATATACAAAACAACCACTGTGAAAGAATAACGAAATTCCAAGCGCATTCGTGACTTCTCACATTATCAAGGAGCAATAGAGGTAATGCATCAAAGGAAGGCATATAAATGGTCTAGACCACATCTCACCATCACATCCCACAACAAAGCAACTCCTGATGCGCGACTCATAAGAAAGAGAACACTGTAGCAGGCCCGCTGGCCCAACTAGACAGGTCCTTCACACAACCCACGAACTATTCTACCCAAGAATTAAGATTTATTATTTGTCCAATGTATTATTAAATTTTTCCCAAATTCTGTTAACTGTAAATGGATCTAATTTATATAAACCAAAGGAAATATTCATATTATTGTCAAAACAGCTTTTTTATGAAACATGATTCAATTACATTCCTGTCGACCATGGACTAGCTTGATACAACTTTATCAACTTTTTGAAAATCAATTGGGTGGTTAAAATCTCTCACATGAATAAATAGAGCATTGGAATCTTGTCCAGTTCTAATGCTATATTTATGATGTTTTAATCTTAGTTCGAGACTAAGTTTGACCATAATAAACTTTATCGCAAATTTTACAAGGAATCTTATACACACATTCGTCAGTATTTTGGGGGGAATTCTTTATCAAAAGTTTTTTTTACTCTATCAAGATTTTTAAATACAACTTTGATATTAAAAGTCTTAAGAAGAGAAGGCATATCAACCAAGTTTTGATGGTAAAGGACAACGAACATAATTTTAGTTGAATAAGGCTGGTTGTCCCTTATTTGCATTGTAAAAAGTATTTCTAGCAATTTTAAAAGATTTATCAATTACGTTTCTTGGGTATTTCACATCATTAGCTATTTCAATAACTTCACAGCAGTAGTGACAAACACTGATTGGTACACTGAGCTAGAAATCTACATAGATATTGACGAATGTATTAATAATTTTCTAAAAAAAAAGACCCAATACCTCTATAACAAGCATTGCCCTAAAAAAACTAAACAGATGACAGCTAAGAGACTGAACAGTCCCTGGCTAACACCCAGCATCCTCAAATCCATAAATACAAAGCACCTATACGAAAAACAGTACAGAATGGGTCTCATAACCAGAGACCAAACAAAACGTTACTCGTCAATCCTAACCAGCCTAACAAGAAGGGCTAAAAAATTGTATTATGAGAACAGATTATCCAACTTACGAGGTGACATAAAAAAGACCTGGAAAACCCTTTCAGAAATACTAGGAACAAAAAAGATAACACGAAATAGCGAAATTGAATTAACAAAACCAGATGAACCCCAATTCCCACCTACTGAAACAGCAAACAGACTCAATGATTTCTTCTCCACTATAGGAAAAAACCTTGCCAATAAAATCCCAAGCTCAGATACCCCACCCAATGACAACCTCACTGGCAACTACCCGAACACACTGTTCCTAGCTCCGACTAACCCAGCTGAAGTCTCCCTTATTATCAACAAACTAAAAAACAAGACATGAGATTTAAATACCTTACCACCCATTATATACAAAAAAGTGTCACAGGTGCTATCACCAATCATTGCAACACTCTTTAACAAATCCATTGAATCCTCTACCTTTCCTACAGTTCTCAAAATAGCAAGGGTCACCCCGATCCATAAAGGAGGAGACCACACAGACTTGAATAACTATAGGCCAATATCTAACTTACATGCTCTCTCTAAAATCTTTGAAAAATTAATCCATAAGCGTATCTATTCCTACCTCATCTCCCACAACATACTCAACCCCTGTCAATTTGGGTTCAGGCCTAATAAAAATACTAATGATGCTATTATCCACATGCTAAAACATATTTATACAGCAATAGAGAAACAAGAAGTCCCACTGGGGTTCTTCATTGACTTACGTAAAGCTTTCGATACAGTTGACCACGACTTGCTCCACATAAAATTGTTGCACTATGGTATAAGAGGGCACCCCCTCAACTACCTAAAGTCATACCTCAGCAACAGAAGCCAATATGTGTACACAAATGGGGCAAACTCTTCCGCACAGTCAATTACAGTTGGTGTCTCACAGGGAAGTGTCCTTTGCCCTCTTCTCTTTCTCATATACATAAACGACCTACCAAATGCATCGCAACTACTCAAACCCACACTATTTGCAGATGACACTACATACGTCTTCTCTCACCCGAGCCCAGTCATGCTAGCCAATACTGTAAATACTGAATTACAGAAAATATCAACCTGGATGAGGACCAACAAACTTACTCTAAACATTGACAAAACCTACTACATTCAGTTTGGTAACAGGGCTGCAGATGTGTCTCTTAACATAATGATAAATGAATCACCTATCACAAAACTCACAGAGGGAAAATTCCTAGGAACCCACGTTGATAATAGACTCAAATTTCAAACACATATACAACAAATTACCAAAAAAATTTCCGAGACCGTAGGCATACTATCGAAGATACGGTACTATGTTCCACAGTCAGCCCTCCTGGCCCTATATCACTCACTTATTTACCCCTATCCCACCTATGGAATTTGTGCATAGGGCTCAGCAACAATAAACCATCTCAGACCACTAATCACCCAACAAAAGGCTGCAGTCAGAATGATAACAAATTCCCACTTCAGACAGCACACTCCACCAATATTCAAAACTCTAAACCTACTCACCATACAAAACATCCATACTTATTACTGTACCTACTACATACATAGAACACTTAACTCTGACAGAAACCTTCCCCTCAAACATCTCCTTACCAACCTAAATAGAACACATGACCATAACACAAGACACAGATCACTCTTTAATGTTC